TGAACAACCTATCTGAACTCTGTCCCATCCTGTGCCATTCTCACAATCTCCGACATACTCAAGCCAAACTGATCTGAATTCTGTCCTATCCTGTGTCATTCTCACAATCTCTGACACACTCAAGCCAATTGCAGTAGTCACTGTGTTAGTCCACATAGTCAAGAGTCTTCTTCTCTTTTGCCTCCCCTCCAATTTCCCTAGCATGATGTCAGTCTCTTGGCAACATGCCCAAAGTATATGAGACAAAGTTTTAACATCTTTGCCTCCAAGAAACACTCTGGTTGCACCTTCTTCAAGACATACCTTTTTGACAGTCCATGTGATCTTCAGGTCTCTTCTCCAACACCATAGTTCAAAAGCATCAATTCTTCTGTCATTCTTAGTCATTTGTCTCAGATGCACCTCAACCCTCAAACTGACATCATTACTTCTCAATAATTTGGAGAGGTCCTTGACTGTAGATTTTCCTAGTGTAACATGTCTCCTATCTCTTGACTGCTGGTACCAAGCGTATTGTGGATTCAGTAAGATGAGGTCGTTGACAATCTCAATCCTGTCTCCATCCCTCATGATGTTGCCATCATTATAGGTCCACTCTTGAGGATTTTTGTTTTCTTGATGCTGAGATAGAATCCATACTCAGTGTTTCAGTGTTTAACTTTCTGCAGCAAGTGCTTCAAGCCCTCCTTACTTTCAGCAAGCTGAGTTGTGTCAACTGCATGTTGTTGTTATTATGTGCTGCCAAGTCATCTGTGACTCATAGCCACCCTATGTACAACAGCCCTAAATCCTGCTCCACCCTGTGCCAAACTCACTGTCTCTGACACACCTAGGCTCATTGCCCCAGTCCCTGAATCAATCCATCTCATAGAGGGTCTCCCTCTCCTGCGCTGTCCCTCCACTCTCCCAAGCGTGATGTCCCTCTCCAAGGACTGGTCCCTCCTTCCAACATTTCCAAAGTATGTCAGACGAAGCTTCAGAATCCTTGCCTCCAAGGAGCAGCCTGGTTTCACCTTCTCCAGGATGAACCTGTTTGTTCTAACAGTCCATGGTACATTCAATAGTCTTCTCCAGCACCACAGCTCGAAGGCATCAATTCTCCTTCTATCATTCCTAGTCATTGTCCAGCTCTCTGACACATAGCAAGTGATTGCAAAGACTATGACTGTTATCAAGCACACCTTAGTCTCTTGACTGATGTTGTTGCTCTTCAGTACTTTGGAGAGGTCTCTAATAGCAGTCTTTCCCAATGCAATACATCTTTTGGTTTCCTGGCTGCTGGTGCCAAGAATGTTGATTGTGGAGCCAAACAAACTAAAGCTGTTAACAATCTCA